CCCGTCGCGGCCCCCGCGCGCGCGGACATCCGCGCCAAGCCGCGCGCGTCGGCCCCGTCGACAGCCTCGACCCTGTCCACGACGACGCTGCCGCCGACGCCCACTACTCGCACGCCGCTGCCGTCGTCCCCGCTGTCCCCGCAGCCGCTGCCGAGCACGGCCCTGGACACCCTGCCGGACGGCCTACTGCGCCGCATAATCCTCCACCTGCTGCACCCGTCCATGCGCGGCACCCCGTACTACCCCCCGGCCACCCCGCACCAGCTGCTGCCCCTGTCGGAGACCTCCGTCTCCCTGCGCGCCGCCGTCGCGCGCCACCTCACCACCGACGCCCACTGGCTCCGCGCCTCGCCCGAGGACGCCCCCGCCCGCCTCGCCCCGAGACTCCTCGCTTGGTACCGCTTCGCCGCCGCCAACCTCCGCGTCCTCTCCCTCTCGCCGCGTCACGCCCTTGCCCCCGCCCTCGTGTCCGACATCATCGCCACCGTCGCGGCCAACCGCCCGCCGCTCCGCGTCCTGGATCTCTCCGTCTTCGCTCTCCCCGCCCCGCCCACCGAACACTTCGTGCACACCCTCGATGCCCTCTTCCGCGCCGCGAGGCTCTCACTCGTCGAGCTCCATCTCAACCTCGCCGCCGACTTCTTGCTCGACCTGGCGGCCGACGCCCACCTCGTCGCCCTCACCACCCTCGACTTGCGCCACGAGGGCCCGCTCGATCCCATGCGCTTGCTCTCCTTGCTGCACAGTCTGCGCGAGCTCACCGCCACCACCTCGCTCAAGCCCAAACTAGAGACCCTGCACTTCCGCCTGTCCGAGCCTTTGCCGCCGGGGCTGCGCCCGGAGGCCATCGCCGCCGCCACCCCGGCCGTGAAGAACCTGCGCTACACAGAGCTCTCGGCCCTGCGTGCCGACTGCACTGAGCTGGGCGTCCCTATCGTGCAGCTTGCCACCGTCCTCAAGGGGCTCGAGGAGCTCGTGCTCACCAACGCCACGCTGGACTTCTCGCTGCTGCAGCCGCTGCTGGAGCGCGACTCGCACCGCCATCTCACGCGCGTGTCGCTGAACAACTGCAGCATCCCGGGCTTCCTCTCGGGCTTCCCTCTCCTGCGCTCCAGCTCTGACTCTCTGATCCGTTCGCTAGACCTGGCCGACGTCACGCTGGGCGCGTCCGAGCTCGCCGTCGTCGCCGAGCGCTGCTCCGCAGTCGAGGCCTTCGGCCTCAGCATTGAGCGCGCCACCGCCGCCGCGCTGCGCCGCGTGTGTGTGAGCCTGCCGCAGCTCGCGTCCATGGACCTTCGCGTCGTCGGCGCGAAGGACGAGCCCGTGCGCCAGGGCTGCCGCGACGGCATTGTGAGCGCGGTTTGCGCGACGCGCGGCGAGTTTAGTAAGCTCGTCGTGAGGGGGGAGACGCTCCCCGTCGCAGGGCTGGCGCAGATCTTCAGGACGCTGGGCGCCCGGTTCGAGTATTTGGTGACGGGCGTGCATGCGCCCCGCGTGTCGATGAGCCGTGCTATCATGGGGCTGCTTGCGGTCGTGAAGGAGCACTGCACGGCGTTCAAGATTCTGTGCTTCGGGCTCGACCTCGCCTATGACCCGCGTGCAGACGACCTGCATGAGGCGTTTGTGAAGACAATCGACGGGCTGGAGGACAGGCTGCCTATGCTGGATACGGTGTGGCTCAGGAGAAACGCCGAGTCGCTACTCGCGATTCAGAAGCCGGTCGGGTTCGTCGAGTTTAGGGAAGGCGAGGGAGATTTGGACCTGACCGCGTGAGTGATGGGTTTGTACCAATGTGGTGCGGGGTGGAGGTTTCTGGGTCATTAGTGGGTTTTGCGGCGCCTTGCTCGGAGGTAGATGCAATAGCAACGTAATAGCGTCGTTTTTTTGCGTGGGAACGGGAGGGTAGGGCGGCTGATGGTAGTAGGTCAAGCGGCTGAGGCGATAGGAAGATACATACATAGAGGATCGGACAGTTTTGCTAGATGCCAGAGTTCATTGTGGTCGTGTAGGGTTGAGTGATATGCGTGGATGAGGAAAACGAGAGAACAAGTTTTGCTTTCTGGGGCCAGTTGTTTTTCAAGTGTAAACAAATGCCTCAGGCGCGTCTACAGTCAAGTTTTGCATCGCGGGGTGCGCGCACACAAAGTTGACTCCAGCCCGAGGTGGGTGTGGCCTTGTGTGTCGCCATGCCACGTGAAGCTGCACAGCTCTGTGCTGGATCTGCACCAGGACGGCTGAGCAGGGAAGCGTGGGGTGAAGAGGTGAACACGGGCGCGAGGATTGTTCAACACCGGCAGGCAATCGCCAAAGAGACTGGCAAACCAAAACGATTGCCGCCATAAAAACACCTAAAATTCAAACGCTGGCCCGCCCGCCTTTTCGAACTGCGAGATGCATCCAGATTTTCCGTCCTCTCACGCTCACGTCTTGTGCCAGTGAAAACAACACAGTGCGGCCCGCCCGCCTCCCGCCCCTTCCACCACCATGCCTTTCATAACGCGTCTAAACTATGCGGGCATCGGCCTGTGCGTATCGGGCAT